ATTAGATTATATTGTGAATAAAGTTTATTATCATGCCTTTTCTGCAACTTTTGCACATAGCGTTACCGTTGTTTGCACCAATCAAAATGACTGTGAGATCGCCATCTTGGCTAACCATTTCCGAAGATTTCCGAATGCAACATCATCTTCCGAATATCCGGCAAACATGATTTAACGGTATTGTTGGGTTTAGAGTTCCGGATTCCGGATATTCCGGTCAAAATAGCCAACCGGGGATGTTAATCATAATCGCTGATCTTCCGTCATTCCGTATTGTGTTTTCAAACTGCCCTTCCGGACTATCCCGAGTACTTCCGACTTTCTCCGAACAAAACCGACTATGCAAATTACCATCGCCGAGGGATTTTGTGTAGCTTCACTAGAGACGTCGAGCTTCCACCTTGCACTGCTACTAAATTCGGTCTGGGGAGCTTTCTAGGTTGACACGGTACGTAAAATTTGTTGCTAGAATTTCTCTACGTTTCCTCGTGACTCGGAATTCCCCCTGTGTGTCGCCGTTAAGTGTTCCGAGACCAGTGCTGACGGGGTTTGTTTGGGGAACGTGAGATCTTGCTGGATGGGGGTGCAAAATTTTATGTTCTGAGCCAAAATTTTCGGCTAGAAAAACCCCGTCAAGTGTTTTCCAAATAGGTTACTAGCCGTTCGTGTGTCGGCTAGATATCCTCTAGTACAGGAAAGCTAAGATCCAGCATTCTCAAACTACAGGGTTATGATTATTCAACGTTATAAGTTGCTGCCGTGCACACACGCAAAAAAAGTGTGGTTCCGACATGGCTGTGCAGGTTGTTGTGACTTAGGTGCAAAACCAGACTACACACTTCCAACCCTTGGATAAACCTGTAATTTTTCCTGGGTGGGGAAGGGAGTGAGAATGTTTGAAGGTGTGCCAAAAAAAGTCTGTTCTACAAGTTCCCACGGTTCAGGTACTACGTGCAGATGCACAAATTAGAGCTCACTAAATTAGCACGTACCTGTGAACTGCTGGAACAATGACCCCCCAAATTATAAAATATTGCCTACTGTGGTTCTCTTCTTTCAAAATAGATTATCAACCCACTGTCTTCACATTGATGGAAATACTGTTGCGCTAGAGTCCATTCCGCGTCACCGAGTGGGTTTTTTCTCCATGTTTCTAATACGTTTGAATTATTTAGAAGAAAAGAATACCCCAGTAACAAAAGTTCTAAATTTTTCAAAAATTTGAAAATGAAAATTTGAATATATTTGAATTCATTTATATATTTCTGAAACATTTTGAATGTGACTGTACAAAGATCTCTTTCTTTAGAATAAATTTGAACTACCCATGTGTTTCTTTCACAATTCGAAATATTTAGAACTATTTCAAACAAATAACCAAATGGTAGATGTGGGTAATTGCCCCCATAAAGTAGGTGCTAATCCTACTCCTCTGTCTTCCTCTGTATATTTTTAGATTTCACTGCTGGACACTGGTGGTTCTTTTGTTGTAAGGCATCAATGCCTGACGCCCAGGCAGTCTACCCTGTACTTCACAGGGATGTGTGAATTACTTCCTTCCCATCCCACTGACCTATTTACAAAATGTTAGAAATAATTCGAAATAATGGTAAAAAATGGTAGAGTGCTGTTAGAAATATTTAGAAACTATTGGAAATGTCATAATCCACATCAGGAATATTTCAAACGTTTTAGAAAACCAGGGAATTATTTAGAATATTGACAAGATGTTCAAAATATTTCCAAATTATGAAATTTCTTAGACAAACAATTACAAAGAATTCAAAACATTTCTAAATAATGACAATAACAACCCACTCGGTGACGCGGAATTGACTCTAATGGACTGTATTTGGGTCATTAATGCGTTAAAGCAACACGAAAAACTCATTGGTATGTCTACCTCAGAATTGAAATGTAAAATTTGCAAAACATTTTCAGTGTTTACAATCAAATTTGTAGTAGTACATGTATTATGCTTCAACCATAACATACTGATTTCACATGTACATTTGTTGTTATTTGTACTATGCACAATATACGATCAGTTAGTTATACCAAGTACAGCATAGTCACTATTTGAAGCTACCCTGTAATATTACTGTACAGGATATCAATCATAGAAAAACTGGATAATTTATATTAACAAAACAACAGTTTGTCCATTTTTTCACCCCCATATATTACATGTACAACTGCAAGTGACAGTTCTTTGAATTTCTGACAATGTAGAATAATAGACTTGGCCCAGAAATATGCTCCTTGCACATAACAGCTTGACTTGATTATAAAGGCTCTTCTAATTCTATGGAGCAGACAAGGCTCTGTGTGCCGAGAGGTTACAAAGCAGCAGAAGGCGAAACACAGCTAGAACTTATACTATTGGTCACCGCTGCGGTGTTATGATACATGAGGAAAGTATTGTCAACATATGATATAATTTTGATATCACTTTACATCAACGTCTATTAATAAGTATTATTAGTGTTAGCCTCCTGACCCAAAACAGTTTTTTTTGCCAGGTAGCTGAGCTTTCTGTGGCATTTTGGTATCATTTGTTTGATAAACTTGGATCTATAGCGTATAGTTTGTGAAAAATCATTTCTGAAAAACAGGACATTCTTGTTCAGCCTAATATTGTAATAGCTGGACCAAATTATTCTGAAATGTTAGTATTTTGTGTAAAAGTTGCAGCAGACAGTGTTATTGTAAGGAATTATGTGATAGTATGGACAGGAAACAGGGAACGATTTTGGAATGTGGTAATTTTTATCATCTCACCACACAAGACTCCCAGGCATGTAGCTATGTTTATGCATTTTGTATTTCTCGTAGTTTGTACAATATGCTGTCTGGGACCTTGTCCGTTTGATTTTACTGACAAGATGTGAAATTCCTTGTGGCCTGTGAAAGACGTAAAACTTCCATGTTTGTTCTACGTGAGCTAATCATAATTTCACAGGGTCTTCAGCAGGCTAATAATGAAGTAACCATTCTGGGGACAGACCTTCATTTACCCATTTTCCTTCGGTGATCCTCGACAAAAAGAACGCATGCATCCCTGTTTGCATTTGGTTTGTGTGGGTTTACTGTTAGCTGGAGAAAACTAGCCCGACTCCATGTCAAAGGCAGCTTTGTTCGTCTGACACCAGAGTGTTGCTGTTCACATTGTTTCCAGCATTCCTGCCATGTTTGCTGGGAAAGCAGACCCACGCACCATTGCTAGTGTACTCTGCCCGTGAAATCGGCGGCGGCATGCCGTCATTTCCTTTGTGATTTATTTTCCACCATGGCGAAACCGTGTGTGTTTGTGTATTAGGTTCATAACGTTAGAGAATCTGGGAGGGATCCAGCCTTGAGACTTGGGAATTGACACAGTGAACCCTTCTGTTGATGCATTGGTTGAATGAACCGACGGTGACCTATTATTCATAAGTGTCATATCAGGAGGGATTCCATCTCAAATAGTTATTAATGTTTGCCGTGAAAGCAGGCGACGGTAGTGCAGCTGGTCTGATATGATAATTTAAAGTGGTCGAAGGCTGGAGCGCCCGATATATGCCGCCTGTATATACAGTTGTGCAATTACCGTCCTTGTACATGTATTTTCTACCCCCAGCCAATGAGCCATATCTGTTCCAGACAGTCATTAAAGGGATCCGTCACGGCGTTGTAAAATGTGTTCAGCTGGCAATGAAACAGACAGTATGTGCAGTCATTTGTTTTGTAATTCTAATGCCTGTGCTCACGCTCACAGTTGTCCCGTGTTATTTGCAGGGATGGGACTGATGGAGGTCTCCGGGGACTATTAGGACTGAGTGATTCATCTCTACAAGATGTGGCATAGATCCAGGCTGCTCTACACTCCAGGGTTGTTACTCTCTGCTGCGTCTACACAGTTGTAGCTATGGGTGCTAATGCATCGACTGGAGGTCCAGTGGAGAAGATCCCCAACCCGCAATACAGGACGTCGGCGTTGCTCCACAGGTACTCATCTGTTGACACGCCGCTGGACCCGGATGTGGGGCACGGCCTGCCGCACACGCTGGCCGCGTCCCGCCACCACTCCGACAAGAAGAAGAAGTCGTCGGCCTTCGCCACGGTCCGTAAGAAACTGACGCGGAGGAAAAAGGGCAGCAAGTCGGCGGACCACGCCAAGGCTATCCGCGAGTTGACCTGTAACTGGGATGCGAGGGACATCAACGCACTTGTTGAGGAGTATGAGGCAGGGGCTGCGCTGAAGGAGCTCAGCATCCAGGCCGACCTGGCCAGGCCTCCTTCCTCCCTCCTCCAACAGGATCTATCCGACTTGTACGACTACAAGTTCTGCACAGATGTAGACTTGATATTTCAGGATGCTTGCTTCCCTGTCCACAGAGCCATCCTGGCAGCCCGATGCCCGTTTTTCAGAGACTTGCTCTGTCGCGCGCCCGGCTACGGCCAGGAAGTCTTGGTCGACATAAAAACCGCAGGAATGGACATTCCAATGTTCTCGGCGTTACTGAGATATCTGTACACGGGAGAGTTTGACACGGAAGGATCGAGACTGGAGAACCTGGATGTTCTGGTGCATCTTGGCGACGAATTCGGTATCCCAAATGCCCTGGAACAAGACTTCAAAATCCTCCTGGAAACGGGAGACTACTACGACGCTATGCTAGTGTTTTCGTCTGAGGCGGGACCACCGGACCCCAACGTGACGGAGGCCTGCGGTAGCGACTATTACTTTGATGACGAGTTGCGTTGTCACAAAGCAATCCTGTCGGCTCGCTCCCCTTTCTTCAGAAATATGCTGCAAAAGCGAGTGCGTACGGGGGAGGAGATGACAGACAGAACGTTACAAACACCCACCAGGATAGTCCTGGACGAGACGGTCATACCGAGGAGATACGCTCGCGTGCTGCTGCAGGCCATATACCTGGACACGGTGGATCTGTCGTTGATCGTGCGCGAGAGCCCGAGTGCCACGAGTTTGAGCGAGGTACAGGCCATGGTGGCGGGGCGAGGGGAGCTGTCACAAGCAGAGGAAGCCATGGAACTCTTCCAGATAGCACAGTTCTTGGAACTCAGTGTGCTGGCACAAGGTAAGACTGTCAATTTTTTTCACACCAAGCCAAATGTAAAAGATATTAAAAAATCCTCTTCAGGTTTTTAGTAAAACCACCTGTCCTTGGTAAAAGTACAACGGTCCCCTCCCCCAAACTACAGTACTTTTGACCTACATACAGACTACCCATGATAAGTAAAAAAAATTCACTATTTGCATACACTAGTACATGTTGTATATGAAAGGAGTGAGATTTATAATGGGAATTTGTGTCAGTCAACACTGCTAATTAAACTAAATACCCTGGCTAGAAAGTTTTCTTGCTGGCAAAATACCTTTTGAAAACATCCTTTTGTTTGCATACCTTCATCTGGCACACTTTGAACTGAAGACTGACTATAACTTACTTTTGATCTGTACTGTATAGTCTATATACAGCAGCACCCAACCTTGGGTAATTACAATGTACACTTTATACCCAACCAATTGGGAACAAAAAATACAACTACTTGGCAGACAAGGGGTATAAATAAGATCTATAACCCAGAAGGACAAAATATGTTTTCACTAAGTAACATTCGGTAGCCTCCCTGCATGTAACGTGACCTTGCTCTCTGGCTTTGTAGGTTTGTGTCAGGCCGATGCATCATCAATTTCATCCCTTTGTCGTGCTGTCAGTTGTGCTGACTGATCCTCAGGCCTTCTGTTGTTACTGGCAGCAGGAGGTTAAAACAGCAGAAGTATATTTTTCCTGGTGTGTGACAAGATACTCTCCAAGCAGAGGTTTAGGCTTTGTTTTTTTTACATGTTTAAAGGTGTTTTTATCAGGGTTTCTTTTCGTATCAGTATCTTTTTTTTCAGCCAGCCAGACTATAGGATACTCACCTGCCAATTTTGATACTGTTTTGCCAATTTGAATTTCACACTGTCCTCCAGGCACCAAAAGATCTGCTTGGAGATTGTGACAAGACAGATGCTAACACATACTGCTGAGAACTTTGTTTTTGTTTTCCCTGCCCATATCAGTAGGGTTGAGTGCACTGAAGTGTTTTTTATTCTATCTTGAAGATTCCCTTCATCCAAAGTGGTCCAGAGCAGCCTTTTTCTTTGCCAAGCCAGCTCGATTTTCAATATGGCACGTTTCCAAGCGGCCTGGATTCTAACTGTGCATTTCAACTGGGACGTAAACAAAACTGGTTCAGACTCAGAGGGAAGCTACAATAATAGCATTTTGGACTTTCTATTTGTAGTGCCAGCTGATCCCCCTAAATGATTATTGACATGTGAGTAGATGTGGGATTTGATAAAAAGTACGCAGTGCTAGTCCATGGGAATCGAACCAAAAATGAGGCATTGAAATGGCTGGCAGAAATTCTGTTTCTTTTGATGTAACATCTCGTTTCTCAAATCTTCCTCTGTAGAAAGCAGATTATGATATCCTGGTTTGACTAGGAATCGCCGCAACAAAATAAAGTGCCGCAATCAATTTTAATTCGCAACGAAATTTCTTGCCATACTCCATACAGATAGGCTAAAATAATCAAGAAAGTAAGTAAGACTGTAAGGTTATATATTTGACCTTTAGAGTATTTAGGATGGAAACCAGACTCACAAATGAGCCAAAATCAGCTCTTCTTACAATCACCGCCACCCCCAGGGGAGCAGGGGTAATTCAAAGGGGAGTAACTCATTTTATTGCCTACATCTATTTCGTCCGCTAGCCTCCGTGGTAATAAATGTGCTTAATATTATTGGGTAGCCTTAATTCAACTTATCAGAGCAGTGAGAAGCAGTAAGGAGACAATTTCTGGGAGACTTTATATGTATGTACATGTGGAGGATTTGTATTTATACAAGGAAGTTAAGCTGTGTAGTCAGTATTCTAATTTGGAAAGCAATGTGGGACATGGGAGGTGACCTGTACCCATTCTAGATTGTAAGCAGCCTCCCTGGATACATTAGTTGCTAGGTATCTGTGTAAATGGAGGGCAGGGAAGTGTCGTAAGCCAGCTGTTCATGTTTTTTTCTTGTTGACGAAACCTCAGAGTCCCACCAGTTTTGATTGGCACATATAACTGAACCAGGTGTATGTGATAGAACATGTGTATGATGATAATATGGTTAAGGTATACCGGTATTGTTATAAAACGGTATATGTAGGCACCGGATTAGTATGGGTACAGCTGGTTGGAGGATATACCGCCATCCCCCTGGTACTGGTCCAACTGATAGTAGGTAATGGGGAGGTGGCTAGGGGGTTGTGATGGAGCCAGTCTGTAGATGTTATCTCAACAACCACTTCTCCCAACCACAAACATTGGCCCAATTTATCTCCCTGTTGTGGTTTACTTACAGAGCCATCAGGAGTCCTGCTCTAACCATCCCTGGACACACTGTCTCTCCCACTGCCCACACACTGAACCAATTTTGACCTGTCAGTTGCCATTGGGTTTGGGCAAAAACAGGGCAGGGTGCAGGCATAGATTTGTGTCTGCACATTCTGACAGCGGCATTCCAAAGAGGATTTTTTTGTATACCTGTTTAGCCATTCCATGTGATGCATTTGGGAACAAAACAAAAAGGCTTTAGGTTGCATGCAAAGTACTGTACTTTCTTTCTTTGCTGCAGTTTCGCTGGACACTGTGCCTGTTGCTGACCTGGTATCTCAGTAGGGTAGTTTATAAGATATATGTAGCTTGTCTCTTATCTGTTATCTTAGGAATGCTCCCCCTGCATAACTGAAATGTTTGGCCATGTTTTTGGCCCACAAGGAGGTCCCTTACATCTTTTAATAATTTATGAGTATTACCTACGGTGTGTTTTTGATGCAGGTTGTACCGAAACTGTCTGGAGGTTGGTTCGGTGTTTCACTGCCAAGTTCACTGCTTGCTATGATTGTGCAGGGATCGAAATTCATTTTTGGTAATAGGTGCACCGGTGCACCCAGCCTAAACAATTGGGAGAACAAAAAAATTTGCGGTGCACCATATAAAATAGAATAATAGAGTAATGTCAGCAATAACTTGATTATGTTTCATTTCTAAATAAAAGTACTACAACAGTGGTTTTATTATTTTTCTGACTGTTAATAATATGCTGTATACTACTATACATTTAACATCTTTACATATGTAAACCTAAGAAAATATTTGGTTGCACTGGCGCACCCACAGAAAAAATCGGGTGCACTGTGAGCTCCAAATTTGGGTGCACCAAGGACATTATACAGGAAGGACTGGGCTCGCATTTAGTCACTATTCAGCAACGTTCGACTCATGTGTGAAAAAACAATTGACACCTATATGCCGATTACCCCTTGATTTGCATAAATACAAAGCGCCCACAAGCGGCCCCCGCTATTGTTAGAAAATTTACGATGCCGCGACCGGGCGACAGGCACATTTGTTTGGAGCAAGTTTGGAGTGATTTTGAGGATTGAAATAATATTTAGTATGATTTTGAAGAATTGGAGGGGGATATATCCACACACGTAGTACTACACTTGAATCAGGGACCTTTGCTTGAATGTAAAGTT